GGTCTCCAACTGCACCGCCCTGCCCCGGGCTGGCTGCTCCCTGCGCGCAATCAGACGGGGGGGGGGGCGGCGCCCTGGCGGAGGCGGCTCAGAGGCTCAGGGACCGCGCGCAGGCACGCGGCCCGAGTTCGAAGGCTTCGGGAGGCGAGAGCGGGCCCTAACTTAGGCCCGAGTTACCTTAGTGCTCATTACGTTATCATTACGTTCCGCTCAGCCTCACTGAGTCTCTGCTTGCCGCTACCCTACGTACTTGTAGTGCAGGCTTTGCATTTAAAGAGTTTCTTAATTATTTTACCTCTGTAGAAGCGCGCAAGTTGGAATGCCTATTTTAGAAACAGTGTCTTACTCACAGCTAAGTGGGAAATGTTGATAAATAACATACAAGGTTGTCGAGGAATTTACGTGGTTTCGCTAAATCGGTAATCAACGTCTTAAAAAGTTTAAATCTACGAATGATATTAAGTTAATTGCCGATAACATGTTAATGGATCGTAACTGCTCTTCGCAGAATCAACAATTCAGCGATGAAATTCCCTTGATGGTGTGTAGTAAGAACATTGTATGACCCCGGGAATGGTTCTAGGCATCAATTTTCGGAAGGGGAGGTCACATTCTTAATGTGAGACATAATAACAACACGGGTGCCAATTTAAGAAGTCTGCAATGGCGGCGTCCGGGCTCCTGTGTAAAGGGCTCACGATACCGCGCGATCTGACCTCGCTGTGGCTCTGCATCAGCTGCGCGCTTCATCAAAGTTTACTTCCCAAGATACAGATATGTTGAAAATGCTCTACATTACTTCTATGCACTAGCTAGTCTTCTATAGTCGTTAGGATTCCACCCCAGACAGCAGTTGAATTCGATCTATCTCTCTAGCTGATTTCGGAAATACTGTCATCGTCGAAGACTCGCACTTCAGATCCTCCCGGTCAGATGCACTATGCTGGCGAGAGACCGCTTATTTTCGCTACAAAGAAAATCAGAACCCTCCCGCGCGAACGGCTGCAGTTGACGTACCCAGAAATATCAGTCAATGATGTGAATCAGTGATGAAGGTGACGGAGGTTCCGATGGCGAGGATGATATTGGTTAGGACCGGGGAGGGGGTGAGGGCTAGCGAGGGATCGAGGGACTGGGGAGACCGTTGGCGGAGACGAGGGCCGGGGGTTGGGTGGGGAACAGACGAGGGCGGTTGCGAGTGTGACGATGTTGGCGTGGGCAGGGATGACGTGCGACGATGAGAGCGCAGGGCGGAGCGCAGGGACGATGAGGGAGGGCGAGGCGGCGAGGGCGAGGAGGCGAGGGCGAGGGGCAGGCGAGGCGGGGCGAGGGCGCGAGGGCGATGGGCGATGAGGGGTGGGATATTGAGAGAGAGCGGTTGCGTGAATCGAGAGAGCGGGAGTGAAGGCGTGGTGCGGACGAAGCGCGGAACCGGCTGCGGGACTAGGGCGTAGGCATCAGACGTGGGGGCGCTGCGGAGCGTCGTGAGCGAAGGCGAAGGGTCGGAGCCAAGGCAGAACGGAGGTGAAGCGACGGCGAAAGCGGGACGAGGGGCGGAGCCCGAAGGCGAACGGGGCGGATTCGGGGCGAGGATGGGGGCGGAGTGGAAGGGAGGGCGGGGGCGGGGGCGGGGAAGGGCCACTAGGCTAGGAGGCAACGCGTGTCGCCGTCGTAAACCACCGTGGGCTCAGCCGCTGCCGCTGCAGGAGCGGTGGCGGAGGCGGAGTCGAATCGATGTGCCCCGGGGTCGAGCGCAGCCTCCGCTCTTGAGAAGCCGCCCCCGTCATCGCCTCCGTCAACCACAGGGATGGCTAATCTTTTGGAAGGGAGAGGAGTATGGTTCAAATTACCGAGGGGTAGATCCATTTAAAAATGACTGTTAGCAATATTATTTACAAGACTTAGTGGTCAATTTTCAATGGAAATGCAAATGCAAATTAGCTGGAAACCACTGGCCTAAGAAAAACGAAATAGACGAAAAATACACGTGATAACTAACACTTCATTTAAAATGTACCTCGTTATCCAGTAAAGAGCAAATTTGTGTTCACACAATACATACTTTTCTTGTGTGTTTGGTAAAGTTACAGCAATCCCCATTTCTCACGAAGAAGATTTCAACTATTTTTTGAGAGAATTAATACGTTATAAACATAACATGGAATAAAAAAACTTTCCCTTTTTTTACGATTGCTTTCAAGTACAAATTCAGTTGATTTACAATGTTAAGAAAGCAAATTATCTCGAATGCGCCCATCTAAAACATGAAAAGCCAAGTATCTGTCCTTGGTCGCCATCTTCCCGCCAGGATAAGGTAAACCCGTTTGTTCGATGCTGTACACTTTACGTACCTCCTCGCAAAGTATTGTATGTTAAAGTATTTTGTATCAAATACACCACAACAATACGTCTAATAAGATTATCCCACGGAACTCCTCGAGGGTTTATCGGCAGACTGGTCGATTTGGTTACCCCTGGCCTACGACAACGGGGTCTGCGCCGCCCCGTCACTTTTCCCACTCTCCACCCGCCCCGCCGCGGTCCGCTGCGGAAGCCCGCCCCGCGCCCAACCCGCCGTCCCCCGCCGGAAGCCACGCCGCCGTCGCCGCCGGCGGCGCAGCTTTATTCGCAGCGCGTGACTTCCCACCTCAACGGCCCCTTAACGGAGGCGCGCCGCGCTCACGGGCGGTGCGGCGCGACGCGGGCCGGGGAGGACCTGGGCCCGGCGCGGAGGTGCGGGCCGTATCGAAATGGGCGCGATGCATGACGGGGAGTGGCGGGGAGCGGCGGGTTGGGGTGAGAGGGCAGCGGGTCGCAGCCGGTGTTGGCCTGCACAGGTGAGCGCGTCCAGAGTACCTGCAAACCCGTGGTGTACCCGAAGATTTTCTAATGAGGCTAAGAAATTGATTTGGAGATGGATCATTTAACACCCTTCCATGTTTTCAGTCACATACTCTTTATCAAGGAGTGGGGGAGGGGGTAATGCCAGGGTTTTCACCCTTCCCCTGCACGGTCTGATAACTCGTGTTGGGAAAGAAAGACAATTTGTACAAATCAGGGACACAATCCATACTTATGTGCATTTGCATGATTTGCATTCTTTAAAACGTTCAAAATCAAAAATATATGATAATGAAAATAGAAAACAAAACTTCACCAATAAGATATTAACGATTTATTCAAGCTGTATTGGGTAAGCGAAGACGGTCTTATATGATTCAACTGTTTACTCATTCGTCCACTGGCAAATTTTGAAAACCCCCCCTCCATACATTGCTCTTATTACTTTATACTGCTACATAACAATGGAATGACAATAATTCAAACATATAACGTTTCTTCTCATCTTTTCACATTCACATTCATAGGGCTTTGTGTCGAACTGATTCTCCGTTCCCCTACTGTCCATCCTCTATGAAGTAAAAAGACTGGTAGAACTGGAAGAACGTGGATGAGGGTCAATGAACAAACTGTGCTCTAATGCTATCGGAAAGAACAGTTTTATTTTCCAATAGTACTCACCTATTGCTAGTACTGCCCATTTATCTACTCTCGCCACTAGTTAACGTATTGTTGTATTGCGTGGAATACAAAATACTCTAACGGACAATATTTTGGGAGAAGGAACGTCAATTGTACAGCATTAAACGAGCCTAATTTTCTAAATCGGGGCCTGACTTTCCGATGATATTTCATTTCCCTCACTTCACGCGTGCGAAATATTAAATATTTCCTGGAATTCCTAGAAACAATAGATTCTACTTAATGAAATATTGAATAACTATATTTATTAGATGATTCCAAGAAAAAAGTGTTTCTCTTATTATTAACTCGGTGGTTACGATGGCCAATAATGATTTACAAACGGAAAAAAAAGCTGAAGTAATTCGAAGAATAAGAATGATTTACGACGTGAATTTAATTAATGTTCTGATAACTATTCGCATAACTTTAAAATTGATAGTCTACTTATACCTTAAAGAATACTTAAATGTTGTAAGGTATGAAGTTGAGAACATTTACTTCAAAGTTATTTTTTTCACATAAGAACTTTAAAAGACTCACTATTTTTCGAAGTTTTTTTTGTTGAAATTTATAAAAATATTTATAAAAATTGAATTGAAACAGTCCACTGTGTATTGTAATGTTAGGGGACGTCGAATTTTAGTATTTTGTAACAAATGAAAACAACTGAAATAATACGACTTTGGATGATAGGCATAATGGTCGAAGTCACGAACATTCCTTCGAAGGGGGGGGGGGGAGAGATTCAAGAAACTACGCACGTCATGCATTTAGAGCAAGAAAAGGTCTTCAAGTATACCGGACGCCTGAGCAATGAGTTTTTCTCTCTCTATATATTTTCTATTCCTGGTGTCTGGTCGGTAGTTTTCCACGTTCTTTTTTCAACTCCAGACAAATGCTGAAGTAGTACCCTAAAACACGAGCCATGACAAACCCGCGATCTTTTCTTCCTCTTCCTTATCCTATCCTCACATTTTACTCACACACCCACACGCAAGCACTAACACCACCATTAATATCAGGTGACCAGTCGGGACTTAGAGCTTGTCCCGACTGTGGCGGTCCCTCGCTGTTGGGAAATACCTGGATGAGGAAAAACTCTGCAAGCCGAGGGGTATATCGGAGTTGAAAATCGCCATCGAGCGGGGAGGGGGGGAATCACCACCTCCCGCGACAAAAACATGCACTACACTTACGGAACTAGTGATCAAAGCAGCCCGGAAAACCCGCATAAATCAAGTGAAGTTGTAGGCTTCCGCGGCCAGAGTCATGTGAGTGATCTGGGCTGTCCGGGTGTCGCCGCGTCGAAGGCTGTGTTTACCAGCCCTGAGGAAGACCACGACAGGATGGTCGAAACGTCGGCAACACAGTCTTCGACGCGGCGTCACCCGGACAGCCGCATGATCCCCACGCATAAATCAAATCTAATCATTTCCCGCGACATAACACAAGCTTTCTTAATGAAAGGCGGGTACTCACCTTCCGGGCGCTGTCGTCCGTTCCAGCCAGTCCGCCGTGTCGCGCGTCTCCGGCGAAGCTGTCGTCGGAGCAGAGGGACTCGCGAGGTTGGCGTAGAAAGCCGCGGCTGCGGCCCAGGCTGGCCCAGCAGCAGGCGCAGGGCCGGCCGGCCAGGCGGTCGCTGGCGCCGCCCGCCGCCCGCCGCCTCCCACGCTGTCCGCGCGCCTCCGCCGACCGACGCGCGCCGCCGGGTGGGGCCGCCGCGCCGCCGCCGCCGCCTCCGCCGCCGCCAGCGGCTCCGAGGGCGGGTCGGCGGCCAGGGGCGGCGCTGGCAGCACGGCGCCCTCAGCGTACCGCACCGGCCCGCACGCCCGCTTCACCTGCCGCACAACACCAGCCCGTGCTCAGCGCTCACTTGTTTCTAAATTCACTAAGTGATTTCACAATCCACAAATTCACAATGCTATCATCTTGTATTAGAGACAATCAAACAATTCATTCTTTTTTCTAAGGCTTTTATCTGGCCAACGGCGGGTTACCCTTTTCGTCGCGGAGAAGGTAATATTTGCAGATTGATTCTGGTTGTATGGTTCCAGGACCAAAATATTTGCTTTTTGTTTGAAGTTACAGTGTTATTATGTAAATAACGTTAAGAGAGGCCAGTAGATGTCGAAATTTGGTGACTGGCCATGCAGCGGCAGCTGGTCTAGTTGTTGGTAGTACAAATTATTGCTTACACTTTACGTATGCATACGCTGTTGCGGACACATTAGGCTTGGGAGATTCGTAACATCTTTATAGTTGAGTTCGCAAAATGACGCCAAATATAGGAATTAAAAGACAAACTCATAACATTAAACACAGGGATTCAAAGCCAGTGACCGATAGACCAGATTTTCACGCTTCCTATTGAATTTAAAAAATATGAAGGGATTGTTAAAAAAACAAAAACAAAAAAAATCATCTTAATATTCATGCCAAATACAACCCGTAACACTCGGACAGCGTACTTATATAACTCCAAAACGAGGCGTTACAGAGCTTTCAAATCTTAAAGAAACGTTCAGCACACCGTAATCTAGAGGATGATATCTTCTTAGACATTCTATTATAATTTTGATGGTTTGTCTCTTCTCTATTCTACTCACCTTTCAGAGTACCTCTCTGTTTGCTAATAAAGTTAAATAAGAATATGTTTGTATTGACAAGGTTGTGTATTGTTGTGTTGCGTTCGGCTACAGATAATCAAGGGTAATGAGTTCGAGAACTAACTTTTATAAATTATTATTACAATTTCTTATTTTAAAATGAATGCAACACTTCTTGCAATAGTGTTTATGGTCCCAGACAGTTAACTGCTGCGGCACACTATTACTGCGCCTCGTATTTAACTCCCCTGCGTTGTCATTAAAGATTAATTAGAGGTCTCGTAATATAATATTTAGTTGCTTACATTTTTCGGTTTTCAAGGGACCTCCAACTTTAATGTACTATTTTTCACTTTTCTCACATACATTTTCCCTTTTTATTCATCCTTCAATGGGCTTTACACTCCCCTTAACCGGCGCCCCAGGCGCCATAAGGGTCACTAATGAGCACAAGGTGTGCGGGGCTGCACCAGCGCAGTATATCAAGCAGCATCACCCCTACCCCCAAAGCGCGGAGTGCACGTAGTGAGCTAACGACAGGGCTCTCGGTAGCCAGTTTTATGTTTCTTTTTGCCGAGTTGCACCCAAGGAGGCGGAACTACTACTTTTACTGAGAGCAAGAGCGATGGGATGAGCGATCGATTCACGGTAGTTGGTAGATCCTTGCCATGCCACACCACATAGGCTAACATTCATGCCGGAGACAGGATTCGAACACGCGACCATTCCTCCCGAGTAAGTTACAGGGTTCCGAACTAAACTTCACACACTCTCGTTCATTAATATTTTGGTTCAAAGAGGGACTAATTTTAACATTAAAGTGATAAAAATGCAGCGTATGTTTGAGCTTTCAACGATTAAAAATCAAAAAGTAAATATCGACTTTCCTCACACACATACAGAGCAGTGGTGCGAAATACCAACATTTTATTTGCATAAAATGAATTTAACGCGTTTGCTGGTAAATTGAGTGCTGACAATGTTCACCACGGGAGATGGACGTTTGCTTTACTGCTTCACTTCCTTTGGCGAACAAAGGGTAATTAAGTTAAATATTTCCTCATTTGAATAACAAAATAGTTTTCGATGTTCACGTGCAATGCAGCTTCCCTCTCGGACACTTTGCCGGATTCAGACAGAGACTACTGGATGCACCGCGTTTCGCAACAGAGTGCATCTGAGTGCATCCATGTGCACCGAAGTGCATTTAAGAGCACTGAAGTGCGCTATGTTAGAGTCGTGCCTGTCACGCTACATCCGCAGTCTAGCATCGAACGTGTTTTGCCCATTCATTTCGTACACATCTGCAATTCGCGTATTTGGGAATATTGGGGAAAGTACTATAAGTTGTCGTTTATTTTCTTCGAATTTTACTCGGAAGAAGACAGGAAAAATGGTAACATAAAATGGCAATAATATTATATACAAGGATTAATTTGATTAAATTAAGATTCAGGGGGTTTCTCGATATTTTCGAGTGGAAGGATAAGGGAATTAAAAGAGTTCAACAAATCTATTATAATAGTTCACAAAACGACACACGAAAATGATTCTTGTCAGAAAAGATACATCTTACAGAAGACCGTAGAACCAATTTCAGAAAACAAATGAACAATTCCAAGCTTTTCGACAAAAGAGATGAGAAAAAAATGTTGTCTAGGAACAAAAGGCGAAAGAAAGACAGAATATAAAGAATTCTGGAGGATAATGCCAATAGAAAAAAAAGAGAGTATTTCAAGTGCCCTGTAGTCGGCCAAAATCTGAAGACAAAGAGTGGCAGAATGTTCTCTTCTTTTCGCCATCGCTTTCGACGTACTCTCATATGAAGGCGAGAACACTTTAATAATAACGTGACGAAGATTGAAATTCCAGATTTAGCGATTTATACAGAACATTCTAGATCTCGAAATTTTTATCAGATTCATTTGCTCACCTCTCTTTTAAACGTTTTCACACCGTGTAGTAACATCTCTCTAGATATTAATTCTTTTCTTTAGCCATTAACTTGACAACCTTTTATGACAACTCTCTGACAGAATTCTTTCCTTTAAGATACTGTAATTTAAAGCAGTAAGTTTGGTGAAGAGCGTAACTTTATTTTTACCTAAGGATTTCCGGTTCGATCACGCCACGCAGAATTTGTGGTGAACTGTACAAGACACAGCAGGTTTACAACACATGAATTTGCTTTCCCTCCATTTCAAATCTCTATCACTTTTGATCAAAATGCCCCTCGGCCGATCATAAAATATAAAAAAAATCCTGTTCCGCACGGAATTCTCTTTTATATTGGAAATAATAACAGATGCTATATGAACAATAATTATTATTTCGTCTTATTTCTATTAACATTGATTTGGGGCAACACTATCTATGTAAGAAGGTGTCCTAAATTGGCCAGACACCTTATTCTCAGACACACGGCAGTGAATGTTCGTGAGGGAGGAAGACGTTTCTAGCAGCTTACATGATTACATCTACTGTTGTAAGCGTGAATTATGGGTCGTGGGAGAATGATAATGAATGAAAGATGAATGTGCAGGTTCTAACACGGGTCTCGAAAACACGAGTTCTCGAACCGAGGAACGGAACACCGAACTTATCAACCTCCCTAACCCAGAACGTCGGCAAGAGGATTATTATTATTATTACAAACTAGGATTGTCATAGGGTTATTATACTACGTTTACATTGTCTTTGAGCTTGTCGGTCAAACCATGCGCATGTGAAATGTCGAGCCTCACAAACAAGACCCTTCCAAATCTAGGGAAGCGCATCCTAGCGATCTCTGCCATCCAGACTGACTATTCATGCAGTTTTTATTTTTGTATTTATTATTCCACTGGGTCAGACTCCACACAGAGTAGAAAAGCCTTTTTATTTTAGCATCTCGCACAAGTACAGCGTATCGCCCGTGTGCATCTCGGCCGCTTTCCTGACCTCGCCGCGGGGCGTAATAAGCCGTTGCGGGGCACAGAATGCGGCGAGGGCGGGGGCGATGGAGGTGGTGGCGGCGGTGACAGAGCTCGGTGGTGGGTGGGGTTGGTGGTGACGGTGATGGCGGTGGTGGCGTTGGTGGCGATGGTGGCGGAGATGGTGGTGTTAAAAGCGGTGGTGGTGGTGGTGAAGGCGGTGTGGCGTTGGTGAAAACGGTGGTGGCGGTGGTTGCGATGGTGGTGAAGGCGGCGGTGGGGGT